ATTTATAGCATGTTTCATAGATATCTAGAAAGATTGATATGGCTTATCTGAAATCAGTATCTCAAATCCCAACCCCACCCATCTGGATGCTCAACCCCCTTAACTGGTAATAGTTGTCCATAATGATGGAAGGGGAGCCGTTCGTTCGGTTAACAACATTAGTTTACTTTCAGCAGTACCTTGTATTTATACCGAGTATAGGACTAAAGGAGGCGTGAAGGAAGGTATATGATAACCAAGGGTTTGGTAAGTAAAAATCACTCTACAGTGCTCCGTGATAAGAACACTTCTAATTGTTTCAACTATCAAATTACTCGACCTTTGACTATAAGAATAATAGAAAATACATTACTTACCTCATAAGAGTCGAATATATTTCCCACATCAGAAGTATTATCTCTGCTGCTTGCCATCAAAAAGGTGCTTTTTATACAGATACTTGATTCTCCTTTCTAGCAATCAAATATCATGCAAATGTTACTAAAGTGACTGCGCATGTCTTGAATAATTTCCTACAAATAGGCGATCACCTGCGTGGCGGCTGTAGGGGAATAAGGGCGGGGCCTGGTGAGAAATTTCTTCATATTCCCGAACCCTGTTCGTGTAATATAATATACACTTTACTCGGACGTTTGCATTACTCATAGTCCTGTCAATTTATGATAACATGCAAAACCCTAGTCCGTTTTTCGCCTCACATCCAATGGCGATAGTTATAGTTGCTGCACAACTTAGGATTAGCAATGCAGTGTCAATCGCGATCTTATGCAGTGTCTCTTGATCTAGCTAGCGAAAAACTGCACAAAACGTTTTTTGACACTACACTGGTATAATAGAAATCAGTAGACCATAATTGGTTCATGGATTATATTCGAGTAACGGAGTTAAGTTTAGGCCTACTCCGGCATCTATCGCATGCAACCTGCTGTGACCACGCCATCCTTACAACACGAATCGTATCGTGTATAATAGACCCTACTAAAAATATTGTACGCTTTTAGGATATGTCTTAAAATTGTACAATCACACCATATTAGGCGATGTTTCCAAAACTCTAGTGGGGAGGGCAGCGGAAGATTTGTTTTTCAAAATGGCTGACACAGATGTCAACGCCGGCAAAACATGCGAAAAACGAGAAGACGTAAAATTTACAGTGAAAGACACGGAAAAGCTGATATCTTTACAGAAGAGTATTGTTCAATAGACTTCTGAACCTTTTACGTCACTACTTGATTTGCAATGCATTGTGGGATCAGTTTCAAGAGAAAACAAAAGAAATCCGGGGAACAGAAGAGTATAATTGTTCAATTGCCGCGGCAACAAAGATTCAAGAAAGAATCAAGAACAAAATTGCATCACGCAAAACAAAGATGGCGACCGCTCTTGTTATGTGTTTGTGAGGTTTTGTACGTACTTTTCTGAACTTCTACTTGTATGCAAAATGTCTTCACGTTCAAAAAATGGGAGATTTACTACTGCTAAAAAATTGATGAGCCGAAGAAGTGTTCAAAATGCTCTAAAAAGTCGTAGATTGTCAGAAAAAAGTCTCTCGCAATTCAAGATGGTCAGCAAAATCTTAGATTTCGACACTAAATCCCTGGGGGGAGGGACTTCCCTATGAAGCATGGTAGGTATGCTCGACGGACGGATTGAAAAATGACCCTAAAAGGTACGCATAAATTAATTCAGGTATCGATTCAAGACCCTAAAAGGTACGACCATTTTTGAATTCTTTAATAAGAGAAAAGCTCAAGTTTAACAAACTGTAGAAAATCAATGTCGATAGATTGTTGAGGTTAATAAAATCTATTTCTTTATTATAAAAATCTTCATTTTTCCCCTTTGTCCAAAAAATGACCCAAAAAGGTACGGRGTCAGCTCACGACCGTAAAAGGTACGCTAGGGATGTATTTTCGACCCTAAAAGGTCTGTCCCCAATTTCTATTTATCTTAAAAGAAGGCTACTTGGAAAAATATAACATTTGTGAAAGCGGAAAAAAACACATCAGAGGTTTCTGAAATATAGCAGTAGCTGAAAATGACACCTCTACTTGACGTCGAATGTGTCGGCTTGACAGGGACAAAAATCCAAAGAAATCAAAAACCACATCATGAAATGTTTCAAAGTCTCGAAATTAATAATAACAATCATCGACCTCAGCTTTTTTGGGAAAATTTTGAATCAATTGATATGTGAATTATCTCTAAAATGAAGCCGGTGATCTCCACTTTTCAATCGCTTTTTTGGCAAGTGTATGTCTTCGCGTTTTTTCCCAAAAAATAACAGTACATGTCGTAAGCAGGTTGCATGCGTAGTAAGGAAAARTTGCTCCATGTAAGTTGGCCTTAATAAGATGCCGCAAAGGGATCYCACCTAATTATCATTCAAATTTCTTTAAGTCGTTCTAAGTTGCCTTAAGACGCCTTTTAAGCTGCCACAGTGTGCCTGCCCAATTTAACCTCATTATTCTTTAAGTCRCCYTAAGTTGCGGCGACTTAAGGCGACTTTCTGGCTCKGAGTAGGTCTAAATTTGCCATCAATTGCAGCTTTATATTTTTCAATCTGAAACTTCTACGAGTTTCGGCTTTGAAATKTATCAAAGGTATAGTATGCATGGATATATTTTAGATTTAATCGAAATCTAAAAAATGAAAAAGTTCTTATCGACTGAAAACGAATATGAACAAGGTTTTCAAAACGTTTCTCGTGTTCTCCCTACAATCCCGCGTGTTTCTCAGAGAAAGGAAAACACGGAAAAGACCTTTCAATGCTTCACTATCCTGCATAATTTGCTGCTTTTCTTGTGAATTGAAAGACAATCAGGCCATTACAGAAAAAAAAAGATTTTGAAGGTATTTTTCCATTACTAAAATGAAGACTGTAATGTCGAAAAATCATTGCATTGCATTTATGAAAAACGGAAACATACGGAAACAAAACGTACAAAACTCAGTGAACAAAGTTGGCAAGGAAATAGTTAACTGATTATGTTCACAGTATCTATAAGTGCTGCTTACCTTTGGTACAGAATRTATGTATAGCTGCAAATGAACTTGTTTTTCTTTGAATTCGACGACTGATGAGYTTTCTTTTCGCCTGCAAACTGTCGACTGCTGTCAGTTGATTCACTGCACACGCACGCCTTCGTCACAATAGTGTTAGTTACGTCAAATCATGTGACACGTGTTCTAAAATTTGAGACACATCCACTGCGCACGCCCAAAATGAAATGCGCATGCTTTTTCAGCCGCTAAATGCTAACCGAAAAAAACGCGGGCTACAAGAAAAAACCCAGTGCGGAATCGACCTTGGTTTTCCTGGGCCATCGCCGAAAACGTCGAGGAGTTGACAAAGAAAAACGAAGACTCGGGATTTGTGCGGAATGTCAATATAGGACTTTATTTTGATACTACCATTTTTTACATTCAAACCCATTTCAGGGAGAAGGGGATTCAAGTAAATTGTCATCAGTTCGAAAAAAGCCGTTTCTATACAATCTGCTTGGATTCAGTTTTTTTAAATGAGTATAGTATAAATCACATGACTGAGTTAATGCTGTAGCCGAGCCATATTTTTAGTACCGTAGTCTTGTATGAGGATGAAAAAATAACATTTGTCTGAGTAAAAACGTGGCTTTCAAAATAACTAGAAATGGACAATCAAAATTAATCGAGAATCGAGAAATTTTAAAATAGAACCGGTCCCGTAGAATTAGTTCGCGAACGATCGTTATATCATATTTATATTGTAGTCTCATTGAAAATAATGTCAAACAAAGATGATTTACAATGTGTGAAGTGGAAATAGCAACACACAAAGAAATCATTTATTTAGCATTATATGATGGGTGTGGTGGCGTATTTTACCGGCCATTGTTTATCACCAAAGTAGTATAAACACAAATATTTCCACTTTATTTGTAAATTTACGAAGTACGATATTCCTAACACCAATTTTCAAACCTCCGGGGTAAGTGTTTTAAAAATTAAAAAAAWTCTTCATGTTCACTGCTCAACGTCACGCTGTTTATTAATATTTAAAAGCTTCACCTCAAATAATTATAATAATTAAGCGTTTGCCCACTATATTTCGCATCTGTTCCTTGAAATAATTATCATAATTACCTCTTGACGCTTTCAACAAACCAATTCACTTTTGGACTTGGYCACAAATTTACATAATTGGGAAAGCATAGCATTTAAACCTGAATTGTTACGCGTTTTACGGCAAATGTCAATGCCTCCTGCGCTTGTCAAGGTTTGACATTGAAAAGACGGAAGAGTCCGCCATTTTGATTTAAAAAGAATAACATTTAAAATGTGAGAGATGTTTGAGGGAAATTGCAGCACCTACGCAAAGATATCTTGTCAAGTTGATTTGCTAAAACTGACGAAAATTAGGGTTGTTCACTAGTTTCTCGGTCGACTTTCAACTAGGGTTTGGCGGCGATCAATTTTCATAGAAGTTGGCTTTGTCAAGGACTTACTCATGCTGCGTTGATCATCTTTCATCTCTTTCTAAATTACGAAATATTACTCGATCTATTTTTCATATTTCGTTAAAATCTTTTTGATTGATGTATGAATACGGCTGATGTTGAAAATCGAACGTGTTACATTACAGTAGAAAATACAATTTTTAAAGACAACCTAATTTCCATCATGTTTTAATGGCTGAGATAAGCTGTGAATTCAACCATTGACACTTCATTCTTAGATTGAGGTCCGAAACCTCAAGCGTTTTTTTAGCATTGAAAAAAGGTGCCGAGCAACAGGTGTTCTGAGAAACATGCCCTAATATTAAACGCGTTGACAATCACAGCGACGTTATTTCCTTATTTTTGTGATAATATTGATCTTATGAATAGGTTTATCTAACAGAAAAACATTTCTATTGTTTCCAAGTTGTCATTTGTTGGAGTTGKTTATTGACTCCATTATTCCCGAGTCCATTGTCCAATAAATTTTCCRTTTCCTCCCAGTTCTCTTGGCCGCGTGATTCAATTTGGCGGGTTGACTGGCCGGGTTGAACATTTGATTGAAGTACAAATACGTGAAAATAACTCCCAAATCTTGTCAAAATGACTTCTGCGATGGTAAGTGTATACCATAGTGCTTTTAAAACAGGATTTTGGATGTTGTTTTGTGAAGGCGGGAATCAACSSCGTCCTTTTGATGGATGTGTTCTCGTGATCGATCGTTTGAAAAGGCAGGGGTTGTACTGCTTGGCACATGAAAAATGGCTTCAATYCTCAACAAAAACGTTTTCTTTTTGTTTCATTTATGGATTGAATGGTTTCTTTAAAATTCTAAAGGGTTGTTAGATCTTTGGAATTGCGTTTTGAGGTTGTTTAGATAGAGAAGGCAAAGCTTTTGCAGGTAGTAAAGTTATTTACATAGAAACTTATGCATACTTACGGCGTGTCTTCATAGTAGCAACTTCAACATCATCGCATATTCATGTATAATCTGTGAACTAGAGCTGAAGTAAAAGCTGCCGAGAATTATATAATGTTCAGATGTATTACACAAGAACGTCTTTCGACCTATATTTGGGAAGAGATCAGCGCTAACTAGTGTTTATTTAATGTCGGGTCGCACTTCTGAAATCCTTGCAAATTCAAAACATTACAGTGTCTTCGACTCAGAAATTACTAGGGAAGATCTTTCCGCTGTAGAGTAGGCTTGCCTTTCATTAGCAACAAAACATCTGCATCATGTAAGGATTGTCGTTTGTTTTTTTTACTGAAAAGTAAGTAGGGTTTGGTGATTGAAATTCCCGAGCACGATCAGGACTTCTGGAATAAATGATCAAAAGAACATTAATAATAAATGCCAGTACAAAGTCGCCGGATTTCAATGCTTTGCATTTAATTATTTTATAAAATATGTACAACCGACCACTTGTACAACTCATATTTCTCCTTGAAGTCGGTTRTGTTAAATTTGGTTGATTTGTGCATGACAAATGAGCTTGAACCGTGACAGACACTCCAWGCTAAACTCGATATGACAAATTTGACATTTGCTCCGTTAACTTAAAACCGTCTGATGGAATTTTAGTCGATRAATAACACTAATGATGGTAGTGAATACCATTGCTGAATGCGTGTCATGTTTTAGCAAGAGATCTCGATGTGTTTTGCAACAAAAAGAAGACATAAACATGTGGATTTAGATCGAATGAATTGTCTTTAGCGTGTAATTTACAAAGAGCGACTCACTTGGGTGCGAACGCGACATTATCCAGGGAAAACCCTTGATCTCAGCGTCTCACTTCGTTTTTTGTAAATTTTATTCGTTGTCTGATTAATCTAGAAAAATGTCCTTCACCATCTTAACGCCTTACTTCAGTATTCAGTTGTTGTTGTTGTTGTGTTAATCCTGACCGGTGAAATGGGACAAATTAGGTAGGGATTATCAGTCATCAATGACTATTGGCTATCTATTATGATTATATAAACACAAGTCACATCTTCAAGGTTGTGCTTGCATGCATGAACAATTGGAAATGTGTTTTTCTCTCTCAGACTACACATTTTATTTCTTTATAATTTATTCAAATAATTTATTCATCAGTCCATACTCTCTTTGAGTAGTCTTTGTATCACCAATTAATGTAAACCAATGATTGATGATGGATGCTTTGAATTAATGTTGAAGAACGTTTCTATAGTCTTAGTTAATTCTGCACAAGAATCCTTGAAATCTGGGATTACTAATATCAGTAAGAAATCTTATGATTATTATGTGTTCACAATTTTTCATTTGTAACTGTATTAGAACCGTAGAACAGGAAACTATACGTCATGAAAATGTATGAATTTATTTCATTGGTTCACACTTGATAAAGTCATCCTTAGATTCTTAGACTAGTCAYAAAATTGAAACAGAGAAGACCCTGAAATTATAGCATTTGTATTAAGAGCATTGTATCTCAAATTTGTCTTTTTTAATTATCACAACTCTTGCATGCATCATCACTTTTTAGAGAGATTTAGTAGAATGAGATTAAAGTAATTTATGGTTTATAGCAATGATGTGTACTGATCATTTCTTGTTGGATGCTACAGTGTTAGGAAGGGATTATTTTCTGTGTATTGGTATTTTTAGACATGTTATGTCTAGTAGAGGTTTCTCTATATATTGAATTCATATATTCAATATTTCATGGTGTGTTTCACAAGTGAATTTTTAAAGAGATACTAACAGAAGCTGAATGCAATTTTCATGGCTTATAAAATAGATAAAAAATAGAATATGAATGTCCTTGTGAGCAAGCCAAGGATTATCTGGTGGTAGGAAGCTACATGTAAGCTTTTGCATCACAGTGAGACGTTGGTTGATAATGATAGATTTGTGTGAATAGTTTGTCAAGTACAATGAAGCATTATCTGTATCAAATGAAAGACCAACCAGTATTTACCTTAGTTTATGCAAAGGCTTTATAATACTCTACAAGATAGAACTATGAGAGTATTGCTGCCAGCCTTATATACCCTTACTAGTACTGTGCATAAAAATTATAAATAACAGCTAGTAATCATTGTCAATTAACTATCCAGACAATAATGTGATTGGTTGATCTCAGGCACACAAAGAACGTATCCTCATCAAGGGAGGAACTATTGTCAATGATGACCAGATGTTTAAAGCTGATGTTTATATTGAAAATGGAATTATCAAGTGAGTGAATTATCTCTAAGAAAAACACATTAAAACTGGGATCTAATTTCATTCCAAAAATATTTGCAATTATTGTTCAACTCCATAAAATTAGTAAGATTTAACGAGTTATTTGTGAAAAAAAACATAAGAAATTTCAAACTGTAAGAAGATCTCACGCATGATCTTGTTGTTGTTGAGTATCTGCGCTATTTGTTTGGTTTTAATGAAGGGAAATCAAGAGCTCGGTTGTTACCCCTGGAGGTACACAGATTATTGATGCAACCAAGAAATTGGTCATACCAGGTACAAACATGGATTTATTTAATGTTAATCAGTTATTGGCTAAAACACTGTGTTATAGTGCAACTTRAATAATAGTTTAAATGACTGCTGGTAAACAGGACTGACTGACAGATAATTGAGTGATTACTAACCCAAACTAATAAGGAATATCCTGTAACACCAAATTGTAACCATTTCTTTTATTGTCTGCATCATTTAAAAGAATTGACAATAACATTATTTTGTCCTGGAGGACAGTTTTTTTCTTTTGTTTTGAACATATTTTGCAATTCAATCTGATCAATCATGGATACCAACACATCACGGTCAATGATCAATGTTCCCTACTGAGCGTGATCATGTTGTTTTAGGTGGTATTGACACACATACCCACATGCAGTTACCATTCATGGGAACAGTTGCCGTTGATGATTTCTACATTGGAACAAAAGCTGCATTAGCTGGTGGTACAACTATGATCAGTATGTATCTTCTCTAATGATTATAATTATTGATTATAACTCTTGGATAAAGTTTCTTTATATTATATAGTATTATATAGTTACCATATGTATGTATTGATCCTTTAACTTCCAAAAATAGAGTACCGGTACTCAAGTGATGACGTCACAAAATGAAAATATTTAATGAGTTTTTAAATTTGCCCTCCATATTCTGTGCATCATTTTTAGTTGCTAAATATGAGTGTCTTAGTGCCATTTATAGCGRAGATACAAGCGATTTTATGGTCAACCTTAAAATCACTTGTATCTCCGCTATAAATGGCACTAAGACACTGAAATTTGCCAGATAGCTACTTTTTTCCATGCGCTTTAAGGATATTTCAACAAATCTGAAAAATTTGAATATTTTTGTGACGTCACACTTGAGTACTCAATTGGTGGGTTGCATGTGACGTCATACTCAAGCAAAAAATATCGAAAAATCCAAGATATTTTTTCTAAAGAGCTCTTCTTACAGTATATYTTAAATATACGTCTAAATAGTGTGTATGCAAATTTTCATACGAATTCAACGCTTTGGTGGCGAAACACAAAAGTTTTAGTTTGCGCGGAGTTTAATTTATTCTACCGTAGATCGTAAATAAAAACTTCGAGATTAGATAAATCATTCTTTCAACTCCGTAAGAACTTACTTAAGGTGATTTTTCTTTGAAATAAAGTCATAATTGACCAAAATTTACAAAGGAAACCACTTTTTAAAGTTAATTTGAAATCAGACGCCATCTTGGATGATCAAAGTTATCATCCAAGATGGCGTTCCCATACATATTAACCAAATTTTTCAAATCTTTATTCGCTTATATCTTCATCGAAAAGTAAGATACAGGACTAAAAGCTCGTATTCTAGATAATTTGACTATGCTCTTTATGACTTGCTACTTGGTTTTGAAAATAACGAATAATAACGAATGATAAATTTTCAGTTCGGGGGTTGCAACCCAAGAATAGCATATCATATTCACTAAGCTCTAGTCAATAATTCAGTGCTCAGTATTTAAAGCTGAACAATAATTTAAAAACTTGCTTTTGAGAAGAAGTACTGCTAGAGGTTCTTTAAAATAGCTGAGATAGCTTCACTATTTATCAGGGCTATTTGCCTTTTCAGTAACTGAACAGTCCAGTTTTTGAAGACTTTGTCTGGTTGTCTAAAATGGTCCTAAGTGTTTTATGAGGAGGAATTGTTCCTATTGTAATGTCRGTGTGGTATAAACCCTATATTTGTAGACAGTCTAGAAATATCTAGTTCTTATGCGGAGCAGGAAGTCCTAACTAATATTTTCTGTTGTTTTTTTAGTTGACTTTGTGATTCCAGYCAAAGGTGAATCTCTGCTGGAGGCTTACGACAGATGGAGAGRATGGGCTGATGAAAAAGGTAAACCATATCTTCATCTAATAATAGTCAAAGGAACTATTCACCCTCAAGTCAGGGAAGGKTTGGGAAAGGCTAGCAAGGAATTTGCATGCTGTTGTGATGTTATGAGGACCCAAGGGGGGTGGGGGATGGGAGGGGATTAAAGTGAAATTGAGTGATTTTATAGAAATTGAAATATTTAATAAGAAAACTAAGGTAGTTATGATTATAGTTAAAGATACAAGTAATCAGCTTTAAAACTTTCGATAGTTTGATATTTCTTATGCAATTTCCAAGAGTGATAATATACTGTCAGGTAATGTGATATACAATTAGCTTTTTTCTTGTTCCCATAGTTTGCTGTGACTATGGATTYCATGTTGCTGTTACCTGGTGGAGCGAAGATGTTGGAGATGAAATGGCTACACTTGTTAGAGAAAAAGGTATAGTCCATTGCTTATTAATAGTTATGTTCTTGTTAATATAATTTATATATTGTATTGTAAATATTTTATTACACCTAATTGAAAAAAATGTGTTGGAACACAAAAAGGTGATGTCATTGAAGCTAAACACATTCTTAGGGGCTTTTGAGTACTCAGAAATTCAAATCACATTCACCTAGAAGTCAAGCTATTGTATTACTTGTAGAGAAGGTCATTTTATTCAGTGCAGGCAATCCTTTTTGGCACAGAAACACTCTTATACTCGTATTAGCTCCCTCATATTAGCTCCATTTTGATCTTGATGATCCTCAGACTACGTTTAGGTTTATTGTTACAAAGGATGTATAACTTTCCTTGTGTTTAATGTTATCTTGTCACAGTAACTAGTGTTAACTGAGTTCTCAAACTGGCATTCACAATTTACAGCTCATCTGATTGAAGTGCCTATGACGCCTGACCAGAAACCTATAAGGGACTTGAAACGTGTAGCGCCGTACCATCTGTTAGAATATACAAATCTAATTTGCATCTCATTTCCTTATTTGGAACAAATAAATTACCCTCTAGCCAACCAATCTTGTCACAGTAACTAGTGAGTTCTCAAACTTTTAGTTAATTATTAAGCACACTGGCATTAACAATTTACAACTCATCTGATTGAAGTGCCTATGAGGCCTGACCAGAAACCTATAAGGGACTTGAAACGTGTAGCGCCGTACCATCTGTTGGAATATACAAATCTAATTTGCATCTCATTTCCTTATTTGGAACAAATAAATTACCCTCTAGCCAACCAGAATGGCCGAATTTTCCAAATATGGTCATAACATTCCTTTCAATATTTTAATGAGCTATGAATATTCCTACACTTGTTACTAAAAAAATGTATGGGCTTTACATGTTTCAAGTCCCTTAGGTTTCTGACGTCTGACACAATTATTGCTGATTCTCTGTGAGCTGATTCTTAATAAATATTTATATTACAGCAAATAATTGAATTGTGGAATATTCTTGCCTTTTGGTGTTGCTTCTTTGAATTATGAAACTAGTGAAATCCTACAATGTGCTAATGACAATGATGTCATGAAATACTTCATTTACAAACTTTGAAGTACTTCWGTAGTGGCTTAAAAATAGCTTCATGACATTATATAATGCAAAATAAGTATGTTTTCATGGTGTTGTTTCAAATAACTACAACTACTGACAGTACAGTATTTGTTAGATTCTGCTCTGGGATTATTAATATTTTCTATTTGCACACAGGTATAAACTCGTTCAAGACGTTTATGGCATACAAGGACGTCATGATGATTACTGATGCTGAGGTACAATGACTTGTTGTTGTTAGATTTTRAATGTTTTACCATGATCTACCAGTCATGTCTACAACCAGTAAATTCCTCATGAAATTGTGCCATCAATTTATCATCAAACATTCTTTCATTAGCAACCTTTTCAACCTTTTTTCATATCCTATTTAAGGAATGGTTCCTGGTTAGCGTGCGTATATCCAGTTCTAGATGCACGCGGGAGGTTGCTAAGCACGAAAAAATGCATAAGAGCTGCACGACGCGAAGCGGAGTGCAGCTCTAGCATTTTTGAGTGCTTAAGCAACCTCCCAAGTGCATCTAGAACTGGATATACGCACAGCTAACCATGAACCATTCCTTTTATAACATAGACAGCTATTTTTTATCGTATGCAGCTTTTTTCGTCTTTGATCAAACCATATATTCTTGATATTTAGCGTGCGATGATCGATTTGTACGGCTTCATCAAACATTTTGTTTTCATCATTTAAAAGAGAAATTCATCAAAAATGTTTAAAAAAGGCTCTTCCAGTAATTCTGCCATTTTTAAAATCTTTTCATGTGAATTTTTACGAAAATCGCGACTGAAAGAAATGCTGACGCAAGTTTATGATATATCCGCTGATAGTTCATAACAATTAACCAATCAGAGCACGCGTTTCATAGTATCTATGTTATAAAACCATTTATTCTTTTCATTATTTATTCATTCATCCATCTTTTCATCCTTTGTACCTTGATTCTCCACAATCATAGTTGTATCTCTAATATAATTATAAAGTATATGTGTTGTGTTGTTAACTCTAAAAGTCTTTAACCATAATGTCAACATTAAATCCCAAGATGATTCAGTGCTACAAGAAATGTAAAGAGATTGGTGCAATTGCACAAGTCCATGCTGAGAATGGAGACTTGATTGCCGAGGTATTAAGATAAGTATGGTGTTAATAGGTATTAAGATAAGTATGGTGTTAATAGGGACTATGATAGGCATGGGCTAATTTGTACAATTTGCCTTAATTTGAAACTCACCATGTAATTTTTGAATGCTTCATTCATTGGATTCCCAGGGTTCAAAGAAGATGATAGAGTTAGGTATCTCTGGTCCTGAAGGACATGAAATGTGTCGTCCAGAAGAAGTTGAAGGTGAAGCTACACAAAGAGCCATTACAATTGCAAATCAGGTTGGTGCATTACGTTATCTTTATACTTGGTTTAAATTGTTGTCTACTGACTGTAGATTTTATGCAATCAAATGTTAGTGACATTGTTTGTATCAAAGCTTATAGGCCCTTATAATTTTGTTTAATTCACAAAATGTATGCAGTCACACAAGGCTTTCATTTTTGTACATAACTAGCAATTAGAAAGTGAGGTTGAGAGGGCTATGCATGAGTTGATACTTCATGAGGTCATGCACAGCAGAGTGGTTTAGTTTTTTCAATATCCAACAAACTATTGAGCAAAATTGAAAAAATTCAATAATTTTTGACTATTTTGGCTTGGATAGGGCCATGGTATACCAAAAAAAAAACATAGTTCAGTAGCCAATCAGAATGCTGGATCTGTACCAGCCCGTAGTCTGGTGGATAAAAATTATAATTAATAACAGAGGTATAGAGGGAGAAATCACCAAGCATGACGTGTTTTTATGTTGTCAGGTTTTGTGTCCATTGTATGTTGTCCATGTTATGAGTAAAAGTGCTGCTAATGCCATCACAAGTGCAAGGCAAAGAGGCTGTGTTGTGTTTGGTGAACCAATTGCTGCAGGTCTGGGTACAGATGGCACTGCATATTGGCACAAATGCTGGAGACATGCTGCAGGTAATGTTATTTTATCTTTCAATTATTATTTTATTTTAATGATGTTTACTGATCTGTGTCTGAGTTTAAAGGCCCAGTGTGCACCATTATGCTTTGGGGGTTGTGAGGGCCTGGAGGCGGCCATTTTCAGTTTACCAAAAGTCTATAAATTGTACTGTGTGTTTCGAATCTTTGACCATCTCACTTTTGTAAGCACTTTAAACAATAATATTATAGTTTTCAAAAATCTTACTTCGTTTTATGGTGTCTATTTTGATACTAGAAATATTTTGGTGTATATCATAACAATAACAGAGGTGCGCAAAGCATAATGGTGCAAACTGGGCCTTTAAACATTGCATGCTATGTTAGTCTTCTTTCAGTTTCTTAATGTTTATTTATTTTTTCTCAAGGTCATGTTCTTGGACCACCACTAAGACCTGACACTTCAACTCCTGATTTCTTAATGAATCTATTAGCAAAGTAAGTCATCACAATATCACCAGGAAGTTAAAAAATAAAGCAAASTGAAAATAATGCAACATAGAACATTGTGTAACAGTTCAATGTCAGTAACTTATTGATAAGTTCTTTTTATGATTTTAATATTTCAATTTATTCTTCCAATTTCATTTTATCTATTTTCATACATGTAAGCACAGCAAGCAATCCTTATTAACTTGTTTTGGAGAGAATATCTAGATGTCAGCTGAAGTTCCTTTTATAAGTTGGTGTTTTAATTAATGTATTTTTGCTGATTTGTTGTCTGTATTTTAGTGATGACCTGCAGTGTACAGGAACAGATAACTGTACTTTTAATAGCGAACAAAAAGCTTTGGGACGACATGACTTTAGAAAGATTCCTAATGGTGTCAATGGTGAGTTGAAACGTCATATGAACGGCCCTTGAAGTGCCATCTATTGTAATATACTACATGTAAATTTAAAATGAAAGTATGCTTGTCCCGGTAAGAGTGCTCAATACATTATGTAGAGCGGAA